TGATCGGTCCTGCATCTCGACTCAAGTCCCTTTCTCACAGACATGAAGCGGCTTCCCTCTGTCTTTTTGCCAATATTTTCATGGCATCTGCACTGTCGTGATATTTTCACTGGTGTTCCGACTGCATAAATTTAAGCGTGCTACTAGGTTGGCATCTCGATCCCAACCTTTTACTGTCGAAACAGTTAAATGTAACCGCGTCTTCTACTGTAACAGCTTCTTCTCTCACATTTCCCGACAGTGGAAGTCCCTTCCTCTTACTTGCTTCCCTGATAACTATAATGTTCAAAAATTTAAATGTAATGTCAATCGACATCTTCTGATACCTTGATCCCCGGTTTTCTATACATCCTTTCCTTTATTCCCCCCATACCCAGTCTTTATAAAATTTTAATCGAACCTAATAAGGGCTTTTATAATTATAGCGAATTGAAGAGTTATTGTATCATATTTCTTCTTCTTCTTCTTCTTCTTCTTCTTCTTCTTCTTCTTCTTTGCCGTGTCCATTCAGAACGTAGGCGATCATGCCCCCCACAACTTCATGTCCCTTTTAGCCCTTAATAACCTTTGTCTTTCTGTTATTTCTCCTAAGCCCCGTTCCGCCATCCATTTATTCAAGCTCATTAAGTATGTCATACGTTGTTTTCTTCTGTCCCTCTTAACCTCTGTCTGACCCGTAGGTATCAAGTTTCCCAAGACCTATTTCCTCATTATGTGGCCCAGAAACCTTTACATATATATATAAATATATATATATATATATATATATATATATATATATATATATATATATCTGATGATCCGAAGTCCTTTAAAAAGGCTCTGGTGAAATAAATTATTATAATGGAACCTTAAAATGGTCTGGTTTTCTTTTTATATATATATATATATATATATATATATATATATATATATATATATATATATATATATGGCTTGAGTTGAGGAATCAGAGAGCCGAGTTCGAATTCCCGTCGAATCCATTACATTCATTTACATGCTAATACCCTTGTGAAAGGTTTGAATCCTCCTCTTCTCCGTCCAGTTATGTATAAATAGCAGGACAGACTGGTTTCTATAGCCTTGGATGGCAACTGGTCTAGGAGAAGGACAACTCTTAATTCAAAACCTACGGAGGGTCGTTTTGGGACCCTGTGGCACGTAGTGCACCAGGTCTCTGTATTCGTCCCTTCACCACTATAATCAAATCTCATGTGCTGTTGTTGGGCTGTCAGTTTCCTGGGAACTGATCTGCTTGACCCTAATATGTCGAATTCGACGGGAGAGTCGAGAGAGTATATATATTCTGATTATACGTTATTTTTATTGAAGTAAATGTTCTGTTTTAATTAAACCGTATTAATTACATTTACCGGCCTGAATGTTCGAGAAATTTCGTAGAAAATATGCGCTACTCCGACAAGAATCGAAACTATAGCCCTGATGGGAACCATCATATAGCCTGACGTGCGGTTACCATTCAATCACAGAGAAGTGTCTGGTTAGCAAAGCCCGAATTACTGTTTATAAGGACAATCATTTCTGCTCACGAAACATATCTTCAAGTAAACAATGATAACATATTAAAATATAAAATTATTTAATATATTTTCTGTTTATACGTTATTTTTATAGATATAATTTATTTAAGTAGATGCACTGTTTTTAATTAAAGAGTATTAATTACATTTACAGGGGTGAATGTTCGAGAATTTCCTAGAAAATATGTGCTCTTCCGACAGAAGCATCTGGTTAGCTCTTTGCTATGAAGAGGCCTCTCTGTAGCTGAATGTTAACGACAAGTCAGATTATATGACGGTTTCCCCAGAGGGTTACAGGTTCGATTCCTGTCAGAAGAGCGCAAGTTTTCTACGAAATTTCTTGAACATTCAGGTTGGTAAATGTAATTAATAGTATTTATTTAAAAAGAGAGCATTTTCTGAAATAAATTAAATCTATATATTTATATTAAATTGTCGGACTTAAATCGGTAGATTAAATATATTTTGAATCGGACTTTAATAGAAAACTGAGATTGCTGACGCGTTTTTATGAATAAAACAGGACAATAGGAAAACTGGTAATTGCTGATTTTTCGTCCATTGGATATATATATATATATATATATATATATATATATATATATACATATATATATATATATATATATATATATATATATATATATATATATATATATATATATATATATATATATATATATATATATATATATATATATATATATATATATATTATAGTGATGTCTCTTCAAAAGAATTAAAACAAAAACACAAGTATTAATGTTAAAATTATTAAAAAAAGCAAATAAAAAACAATTTCACTTAGCAGAGCTATATTTCCTTCAATTTTTATCAATGGTGTAAAAACTGCTCCTGCAAAATGATACTGGCAATGACAGTTAATATTCTGAAAAAACTTTTTTTTACCAGATCAACTCCGAGATCAACTCCGTGTGTTTAGAACTTTTGCTTTCTGTCCATGACAGGAGATCAGGGTTCGGACCTCACAATGGACAATTTGTCAGGGAGGTGAATTCTTAATATTACCGGTTTGTGTGAGGCATTCCCAGCGTTCGACACCTTTAGAAATTCTTGTGTGTGAAACTGGGCAGACGGAACTCTTTGAGTCGTCGATGGTTGTGTTAGCATGAAGTCACAAGTCGTCGTGACCGAGGATTTCAACGAGTTGCTCCGGTTCAGACTGATGATCACGCGCACTCACCTAGAAAAAGTAACCAAGGTTCGCTCATCATAGTTGCAGTATAAAAACACAGGTGGGCTCTGTGAGTATTTAACAAACACAAATATGCCTGAGTAGGCGTCTGCAAAAGGGATTAACTAGCCGCCTTAGTTGGCGGGCATCCTCGGATATGAGTGGCCTGCCATATATATATATATATATATATATATATATATATATATATATATATATATATATATATATGGTAAAAGGTAATAAATCCGTTAGCATATAATCCAAGTGGATCCTAGTAATATAACATATTAAAACTGGTCCACAAAAAGAGAGCTCAATGTAATTACAGAGCAAAAATTAATACACAATAAAATACATTATCACGTTATATAGGGAATAAGCTTATTTCGACGGACCAAAAATATAGTTCGTATATTTTATTTTTAAATATGTAATTTATTTTATCTTATTATATTTTTATTTTTAAATATATTTGTATTTTTAAATATAACCTATTTATTTATATTAAATATAACTTATATTTAAATATAATTTTACTTATTTTTAAATATAAATTATTTAAATATGACTTATTTTTAAATGTAACTTATTTAATTATATCTTATTTTTATATACAACTTGTTTTTAGAATATGACTTTGTACTTTTAAGTATGACTTTGTATTTTTAAATATAACTTTATCTATATATTTTGAAAGTTTTTAGACCCCTTTTTATTCCTCTCTGTTTTTTTTTTTTGTCTTTTTTTAGCTTTCACAGTTGAATTTCTATTTCCGACACAAACTCAGTCTATTTTTGTCGATCGACATAAGGTTATTCCCCATATGAGATGATTTTGATTTTTTGTATATTATATATATATATATATATATATATATATATATATATATATATATATATATATATATATATATATGTATGCATATGGAGAATGAGAGATAGTTCATCCATATAAATCAACACTGAATTGTGATTTCGGTTTCCCGACGCAGTGCGATATCCAGACTTTGTCTGAAGATTTCATTGAAGCATGATTCCTATGTCAACATCGTTTCTGTCTATAATCAACAGGGATTAACTAGACAGTCTTGTAGACGAGTTTATTCGGAAAACGAAAACCCAATACACACACACACACACACACACACACACATATATATATATATATATATATATAGGGTACGTCAGAAATAAGTCCTACATTTTTAACTGTCACCTGTTTGGTACTAATTAACTTAGGAAAGTACCAACTTAGGAAAGTTTAGCTAATGTCTTACCAATTTTGTTCCGATACGATTAGTAACTGTCATAACTTGGTCGGTGCACACCGTGCGTTTGCTGCTGAAAGGGGTTTATTTTTATTTTTATTTTTTTTTTAAGACTGTTGTATCTTTAATTTCAACACAGAGTTCTTTTCGTGATCATTCCATGTTACATCGGAATGCTTCTGCTGTTCCGGTTAGAATATCGATACTATTGTCTATAATATTCTTTAAAGAAAAAGACATCGATTCCAATGCTGGCATTCTAAGAATTTCGAATTACCTCAAATCTCCTTAAGTTCCCAGGAGGTGAAACTCATGATCAAGTTTTTCAAGCCGGATTTTTACTACATGAAAAAATCCATCAATAATTTATGTATAAATACATGATGCGGCAGAAATACCTCCCACACTTTAAACTGTCCCCTCTGTGGTGCTAAAGAACTTTGGCAAGTAACAATTGTGTCATCATCTATCTAATGTCTTAGCATCATGGCTTGGATCGATGCACATAATGTGTTTACTGTTGAAACGTTTTGCTTTTTTTTTTAAGACTGGTGAATCTGTATTTGCAACACAGAGAGCTTTTCATGCTCATTTCATGTTACGTCGGAATGATGCTGTTCCGGAGAGAATATTGATACACCTATGCGTTAAATATTTCAGCGTCACAGGTTCAGAGCTTAAAAATGTTCAAACAATCTTTTCTGCAATCTCATGCACGTTCAATCCGTAAACATGCTTCTGCTTTAGAATTGTTTAATCGAACAGTCTGAAGAATTTTACCCGCCGATTAAGTTTCCCTTTCGTCTTTGTTTTATATATATATATATATATATATATATATATATATATACAGCATTAGGAATAAAACTCTAATAAGGTATTGTAAGTATTTCTAATAAAGCAAATATTAACTGATATTCACATGGTATACTTATTATATAACATATCTTCAATATTTTACCGACATCATTGTGAAAATGTGTAATAGAAGTTATTATTGCACAGAATAGATAGATAGATAGATAGATAGATAGATAGATAGATAGATAGATAGATAGATAGAATTAGAATTAGAATGAGACAGCCTCTTCTTTTGCTGTCCCAAAAGGAACCTTGTAGATTGATAGTAGAAAGATAGTTGGCTCTTATTGCGTCTCCATACCATTTCAAGATCTTTATGCCGATGGTTATGAGGTCTTTCAGTCAGACTGATACTTGTTTGGTGGTGTTTCGCACTGCACCTTTCAAGATGCATTCTACGTAGGAGATGCCTCGGATGGTTCTGCAGCATCTCATTTCTAATGATTGGATTCTTTTCAGTAGTTCTGTTGCGAATGTCCACACTTCGCAGCCGGACAGCAAGACTGCTAGTGCACACAAAGGTCTGCTCTTTGATTTCAGACAAGAGGTTCTTATCTGTCCCCCCAAAAACAACTCAGTACTAAAATCTATTTAAACAGTCCCCTTGTATTCTTCAATTAAAAACATATCATTTAACCACCATAACCTTTTCTGCTTGCCATCAGCATGGTTGACGCGAGACTCCAGGCGAACAACACACTGTCTTTTACTGACGTGAAACGAAGGGACTACATCGAATCAATAGCTGTATTTAATGCAAGTAAAGTTGGGTCATTGTGTCGTACTAGAAATTTTTCTTGTCAGAATCCATCTTACAAATCTACCATTCGACTGTGCATTGAACACTGTTACCATATCTGGTCTGGTGCTCCTGCTGTACATCCCGATATTGTTGACAAAATCCAAAGAAGATCTGTAATGCAATCTATCATAACCAGACATCTTGACTTCTGTCATTTTCTCACCGTCGTGACGTGGCTTCCCTGGACAAATCATATCATGTCAACTGTTTTGACGAGCTTTTTACCTTGGTGCCCCGAATACATGAATTTTAGCGTGCTACTAAACTGGCATCAAAGTCCCACCCTTTTAACTGCTGAAATAGATAAATGCAACCGCCACTTCTATTCCAACAGTTTATTTTCTCACACTTATCACCTGTGGAACTCCCTTCCGTTCGCTTGCGTCTCTGATAACTACAATCATCAAAAATAAAAATGCAATATCATTCGCCATCTTCTGTCTTTTTGAATCCCGTTCATCTTTTGTCCTTTCCTCAATCCTCCCTACTCTCAGAGTTTCACCCCCTGTAACCCCTTGCGTACTAGTGGCATTCCCGCCTTATGTGGGGTGAAATGATAAAAAAAATAAAACATATGTGCTGATCAAAAGACAAACTCTGATGTCTGACATCTACACACACACCAAATGATAATAACTATAGATTAATGGAAGATAAAAACATAAATAAATTTAGTGCTGAGCGTTCTTTTAATAGCAATAAACTCAATTTCTTCCCGCTAAATATTACTTTCATCAGAATTTGATTATTTCTCCATCATATATATAAAATAATCACATACATTATATATATATATATATATATATATATATATATATATATATATATATATATATATATATATATAAATGTATGTATGTATATCGAATGGGGAGGAACATCTGTGCCTATATATTTCTCTATTTCATTTTGAAACACGTTGGCATCAAATGTTCAAGATTATGGCGAGTAATGAAATTCGAAGGAAATCTGTGAGATTCGCGGCTGACTCGAGAAATTCCCCACAGGAGACTACCTTAACATGAGTTACTGTCCAGGTCAATCCTTGTATACTCTCCGTTGGTGATCGAGACTATAGTATATGATGAACTTGTGGAAATCACAGGGACACTTTCCTTCAACTCGCTCCGTTCAAGAGCTTTATACATCCCACTGTACTGATTGATGGCCACTTATAATACTGAACTTAACACACACACGCTCACATACACACACACACACACACACATATATATATATATATATATATATATATATATATATATATATATATAGAGAGAGAGAGAGAGAGAGAGATGGGTAGGGGAGAGAGAGTGAAGTTCATTCGGAGTTGATCATGTAAAAAAAAGTTTTTTTCAAAATATTAACTGTCATTGCCAGTATCATTTTGTACGAGCAGTTTTTACACCATTGATAAAAATTGAAGGAAATATAACTCTGCTAAGTGAAATTGTTTTTTATTTGCTTTTTTTAATAATTTTAACATTAATACTTGTGTTTTTGTTTTAATTCTTTTGAAGAGACATCGCTAGAACCTTATAATAGAGACTTCCACTAAAAACCCGGTACCTAAAGTTAAAATGAACTTTAAAAATGAAAAATATTTCTAAAAACTTTTATTTATTTTTAATTTTAAGGTAATAGATCAAATTTAATATTTCCAATAAGCGAAATAATTTGATGAATTTCAAAAACTAATTTAAAATTAATTTATATTGACTGGAAGAATGTCTTTTCTTTCCTTTTTTTTAAATATCTGATTAGCGCCCTTTTTAAGACGTCTTTCGCCGCAATATAATTCTATTTATTAAAAAAAAATCTTCCAAAAATAAAATATAATTTTCTGAAATTTTATTTGAGGAATATTAGCTGATTTAAAGTATAATAAATCTGATCTAAAAAAACACATTTACTTTAAGTTTAAAATAACACAGAAATGCCTTTTTAAAACAGTAGTTGTGTTTTAAACCGACAGTAACTATGTTTACATGATTGACGAGCGATGACAAGGGCTGATAAAGGTGTTGACGCCTTTATTTTTGTTCTACAGAGATTTTATTTGTTAAAACATAATTTAAGAAAATGACGGGTGAACGCCTTTTTATACAATTTTTAAGTACTTAGTAATGTTAAAAATGTTGTAAAATATAATCTAAATTTAGGAATGTTGACTTGAAGTTGACAATAGTCACCGTTCTTATTTTCTGATAATATCGTGTACGGTCCCCCATACTTTCAAAATAGACATGTTTACACACATAAAAAATTGAAAAGTTTTTTAAAACTCTTGATGAAAAATGATTTGTATTAATCTTTTCAATTTTTGCTTAGCAAATATAGTAAATATATCAGCAAACGCAATTAAAATAATGCAGAACATTAAAAGATTTGCATATGAATTATTTTAATAAATTATAATTAATTTTTTTTAAAAAATGAAAAAATTTTTTTGTAAAATTTAATTATTCATTGAATTTGTTTTTCTTATGATAATAGTGGACTTCAATCAGTTATGTGCCATGCGTGATAAACGCTTAGGCGATCATGTATCTTGCGATACATGACTGACGAGGTAGATTTTTCCCGCAGTAGGTTGCCATTTCTTTCTGCAGTAGACCAGTTGCCATCCAAGGCGGTCTGTCCTGCTAGTTACCCAGCGTAGACCAGTTGCCATCCAAGGCGGTTTGTCCTGCTATTTACCCAGCGTAGCTGGTCGGAGAAGAAAGGATTCATTCATTAGCACAGAAGTGAATGTAATGGATTCCACTGGAATTTGAACTCGGCTCTCCGATTCTTCACTCCGAGCCGCCATCCATTACTCCACCTTAATAAATCTTATTTATAAAATCAATTAAAATCTTTTCTAATTAAATAATGTCATAGTATTATTCCATTTTTTTATTTTACTATTCAAAGTAGATTTTCGGCAAATGAGTAGTAATTTGAAAAAAAAAATGATTTACATTCTCCAAGGAGTCTTGTTTTAAACTCATAAAAAATTGTGTGATTAAATTTTAATTTCTTGAAATTTCATGAATTTAAGTCGGGAGTAACGTATGTAAATGTATATTTCTAAAAATCAAAAAATTAATTTCATTCATTTGTGAATAAGTACCAAAAGATTCATTAAAATCCGACAATTATTTGAGTTTTGTAAAAATTTCCAAATCAACATGTTTTTCGCTGAAAAAAGGCGCTAAAACACTAATAGCAAATATTACGACGACTGCTGAGGCAAGAAAACAAAAAGAAAAAAAAAACATTTTTAACCAAAATTTCGAACATACCAGAAAGGATTGAAAAATTTAATAATTAAAAGCACTCTTAATAATAAACATTTTAACGATAAAACTTTCTTTTTATAAAGTTTGGGGCCTTTTTTCATCATGCTACGCTTTTTTTTCAGCAAATTAGCGGAGGTACCGACATTAAAATTACAGAAATATATTATAAAATAATGAGAGGACTTTTTCCCATATATTAACTGAGCTAAGGATTTCAATATTAAATTCTGAAAGCCCTCCTTTCTTATTATAGAGTAGGTTTGGTGAAATCCAGTCTAGACGGGCAATTATGAATTCAAAACAGTAGAAATATCAATGAGGAACACTTCCACTCACTTACTCAAATAGATAATGCTATTCACAAATAAAGAAAGGAATATATGGAGAGCCATGTCCTAATGAGACATTTAAGAAAAAAGATATATATTGCATCCGGTACCATTCGAAAGTTAGATTTAATAAAAGTACAGAGGAAAACTTCGCAGTCTGAGGAATAAATATTTTACTTACATTAGGTTAACACAATGACACGAGTATGGAATTCATTACCTTGTAATTAACATTCTAATGACATCATGATGAGGCGCCAGCAATATATGAAAGAATGAATGGGTCTCGAACACGTTTCCTCGTTACAACGAGTCTCCAACAATGTATGAAAGAATGGACGAGGCTCGAACACGTTTCCTCGTTACAACGAGGCGCCAGCAATGTATGGAAGAATGGACGAGGCCCGAACACGTTTCCTCGTTATAACGAGGCGCCAGCAATTTATGAAAGAATGGACGAGGCTCGGACACGAGGCTCGTTATAACGAAGACGCCAGCAATTTATAAAAAGAATGGACGAGGCCCGAACACGTTTCGTCGTTATAAAGAATGGCGCCAGCAATTTATGAAAGAATGGACGAGGCTCAGACACGTTTCCTCGTTATAACGAGGCGCCAGCAAAATATGAAAGAATGGACGAGGCCCGAACACGTTTCCTCGTTATAACGAGGCGCAATGTATAAAAAATGGCCGAGGCAATGTTTCGTCGTTATAACGAGGCCCCAGCAATGTATGTAAAAAAAATGGACGAGGCCCGAACACGTTTCGTCGTTATAACGAGGCGCCAGCAATTTATAAAAAGAATGGACGACGAACACGTTTCGTCGTTATAACGAGGCGCCAGCAATTATGAAAGAATGGACGAGGCTCGAAAGAACGTTTCCTCGTTATAAATGGTTTCCTCGTTATAACGAGGCGCCAGCAATATGAAAGAATGGACGAGGCCCGAACACGTTTCCTCGTTATAACGAGGCGCCAGCAATAACGAAATGGCGCCGAACAATCGTTATAACGAGGCCCCAGCAATTTATAAAAAAGAATGGACGAGGCCCGAACACGTTTTTCGTCGTTATAACGAGGCGCCAGCAAAAATATAAAAGAATGGACGAGGCCCACACGTTTCGTCGTTATAACGAGGCGCCAGTTCGTCATGCAAAATATAAAAAGAATGGACGAGGCCCGAACACGTTTCGTCTCGTTAAAAGAATGGACGAGGCCCGAAACGTTTCGTCAACGAGGCGCCAGCGAAAATGTATGAAAGAATGGACGAGGCTCGAACACGTTTCCTCGTTATAACGAGGCGCCAACAATGTATAAAAAGAATGGGAACGTCGTTATAACGAGGCGCCAGCAATTTATGAAAAGAATGGACGAGGCCCGAACACGTTTCGTCGTTATAACGAGGCGCCAGCAATTTATCGTTATAACGAGGCGCCAGCAATTTATGAAAGAATGGACGAGGCCCGAACACGTTTCGTCGTTATAACGAGGCGCCAGCAATAAAAAAGAATGGACGAGGAAACACGTTTGTCGTTATAACGAGGCGCCAGCAATGTATAAAAGAATGGACGAGGCCCGAACACGTTTCCTCGTTATAACGAGGCGCCAGCAATGTAAAGAAATGGAAGAATGGACGAGGGCAATGTATAAAAGAACACGTTTCCTCGTTATAACGAGGCGCCAGCAATTTAAAAAAAGAATGGACGAGGGCTCGAACAATAACGAGGCCCCAGGAATGGACGAGAACACGTTTCCTCGTTATAACGAGGACACGTATAAAAGAATGGACGAGGCCCGAACCGTTTCGTCGTTATAACGAGGCGCCAGCAATTTATAAAAAGAATGGACGAGGCCCGAACACGTTTCGTCAATTATAACGAGGCGCCAGCAATTTATAAAAGAATGGACGAGGCCCGAACACGTTTTCCTCGTTACAACGAGGCGCCAGCAAAACGTTTCTTATAAAAGAATGGACGAGGCCCGAACACGTTTCCTCGTTATAACGAGGCGCCAGCAATGTATAAAAGAATGGACAATGTATAAAGAATGGACGAGGCCCGAACACGTTTCCTCGTTATAACGAGGCGCCAGCAATGTATAAAAGAATGGACGAGGCCCGAACACGTTTCTCGTTATAACGAAGCAATGTATAAAAAGAATGGACGAGGCGAACAATAACGAGGCGCCAGCAATGTTAAAAGAATGGACGAGGCCCGAACACGTTTCCTCGTTATAACGAGGCCCCAGCAATGTATAAAAAGAATGGACGAGGCCCGAACACGTTTCGTCGTTATAACGAGGCGCCAGCAATGTATATAAAAGAATGGACGAGGCCCGAACACGTTTTCCTCGTTATAACGAGGCGCCAGCAACGTTATAAAGGCCCCAGCAAAATAAATGGACGAGGCCCGAACACGTTTCTCTCGTTTCGAGGCCCCAGCAATGTATAAAAGAATGGACGAGGGAACACGTTTTCTCGTTATAACGAGGCCCCAGCAATGTATAAAAAAGAATGGACGAGGCCCGAACACGTTTTCTCGTTATAACGAGGCCCCAGCAATGTATAAAAGAATGGACGCCACGCAATTTAGGGACCAGCGAAATGTATAACGAGGCCCCAGCAAAAAGAATGGACGAGGCCCGAACACGTTTCGTCGTTATAACGAGGCCCCAGCAATGTATAAAAGAATGGACGAGGCCCGAACACGTTTTCTCGTTATAACGAGGCGCCAGCAAATTAAAAAAGAATGGACGAGGCCTGAACACGTTTTTCGTTATAACGAGGAGTATAAAAAGAATGGACGAGGCAATAACGAGGCCCCAGCAATGTATAAAAGAATGGACGAGGCCCGAACACGTTTTCTCTCCCCAGCAATGTATAAAAAGAATGGACGAGGCCGAACACGTTTTCTCGTTATAACGAGGCGCCAGCAATGTATAAAAGAATGGACGAGGCCCGAACACGTTTCCTCGTTATAACGAGGCGCCAGCAATATAAAAAGAATGGACGAGGCCCGAACACGTTTTCTCGTTATAACGAGGCCCCAGCAATGTATAAAAAGAATGGACGAGGCCCGAACACGTTTCCTCGTTATAACGAGGCGCGAACAGCGTTATAACGAGGCCCCAGCAATATGAAAGAATGGACGAGGCCCGAACACGTTTTCTCGTTATAACGAGGCGCCAGCAATGTATAAAAGAAAAAGAATGGACGCAAGGTATAAAAGAATGGACGAGGCCGAACACGTTTTCTCGTTATAACGAGGCGCCAGCAATGGACGAGGTATATGAAAGAATGGACGAGGCCCGAACACGTTTCCTCGTTATAACGAGGCGCCAGCAATGTATAAAAAAATGGACGAGGCCCGAACACGTTTTCTCGTTATAACGAGGCCCCAGCAATGTATAAAAAGAATGGACGAGGCCCGAACACGTTTCTCGTTATAACCAGCAATGTATGAAAAAGAATGGACGAGGCCGAACACGTTTTCCTCGTTATAACGAGGCCCCAGGAAAGAACAATGGACGTATATAAAAGAATGGACTCGAACACGTTTTCTCGTTATAACGAGGCCCCAGCAATGTATATAAAAGAATGGACGAGGCCCGAACACGTTTTCGTTATCGTTATAACGAGCCAGCAATCGTTATAAAAGAATGGACGAGGCCCGAACACGTTTTCTCGTTATAACGAGGCCCCAGCAATGTATAAAAGAATGGACGAGGCCCGAACACGTTTTCTCGTTATAACGAGGCCCCAGCAATGTATAAAAGAATGGACGAGGCCCGAACACGTTTTCTCGTTATAACGAGGCCCCAGCAATGTATAAAAGAATGGACGAGGCCCGAACACGTTTTCTCGTTATAACGAGGCCCCAGCAATGTATAAAAGAATGGACGAGGCCCGAACACGTTTCGTCGTTATAACGAGGCGCCAACAATTTATAACGAGGCCCCAAAAAAATGGACGAGGCCCGAACACGTTTTTCGTCGCAATGTTAAAAAGAATGGACGAGGCCCGAACACGTTTTCTCGCCAGCAATGTATAAAAAGAATGGACGAGGCCCGAACACGTTTCCTCGTTATAACGAACGAGGCGCCAATGTATAAAAGAATGGACGAGGCCCGAAATCGTTATAACGAGGCCCCAGCAATGTTTAAAAGAATAACGAGGCCCGAACACGTTTTCTCGTTATAACGAAAAGAATGGACGAGGCCCGAACACGTTTTCCTCGTTATAACGAGGCCCCAGCAATGTATAAAAAGAATGGACGAGGCCCGAACACGTTTTCTCGTTATAACGAGGCCCCAGCAATGTATAAAAAGAATGGACGAGGCCCGAACACGTTTTTTTCTCGTTATAACGAGGCCCCAGCAATGTATAAAAGAATGGGACGAACACGTTTCGTCGTTATAACGAGGCCCCAGCTCGTTATAACGAGGCCCCAGCAATGTATAAAAGAATGGACGAGGCCCGAACACGTTTTCTCGTTATAACGAGGCCCCAGCAATGTATAAAAGAATGGACGAGGCCCGAACACGTTTTCTCGTTTCTCGTTATAACGAGGCGCCAGCAATGTATATAAAAAGAATGGACGAGGCCCGAACACGTTTCCTCGTTATAACGAGGCCCCGCAATGTATAAAAAGAATGGACGAGGCGAACACGTTTTCTCGTTATAACGAGGCCCCAGCAATGTATAAAAGAATGGACGAGGCCCGAACACGTTTCCTCGTTATAACGAGGCGCCAGCAATGTATAAAAGAATGGACGAGGCCCGAACACGTTTTCTCGTTATAACGAGGCCCCAGCAATGTATAAAAGAATGGACGAGGCCCGAACACGTTTCGTCGTTATAACGAGGCGCCAGCAATGTATAAAAGAATGGACGAGGCCCGAACACGTTTCGTCGTTATAACGAGGCCCCAGCGTTAAAAAGAATGGACGAGGCCCGAACACGTTTTCTCGTTATAACGAGGCCCCAGCAATGTATAAAAAGAATGGACGAGGCCCGAACACGTTTTCGTCGTTATAACGAGGCGCCAGCAATGTATAAAAAGAATGGACGAGGCCCGAACACGTTTCCTCGTTATAACGAGGCGCCAGCAATGTATAAAAAGAATGGACGAGGCCTGAACACGTTTTCTCGTTATAAAGGCCCCAGCAATGTATAAAAGAATGGACGAGGCCCCTCGTTATAACGAGGCCCCAGCAATGTATAAAAAAGAATGGACGAGGCCCGAACACGTTTTCGTCGTTATAACGAGGCGCCCAGCAATGTATAAAAAGAATGGACGAGGCCCGAACACGTTTCCTCGTTATAACGAGGCGCCAGCAATGTATAAAAAGAATGGACGAGGCCCGAACACGTTTCCTCGTTATAACGAGGCGCCAGCAATGTATAAAAAGAATGGACGAGGCTCGAACACGTTTCCTCGTTATAACGCGCCAGCAATGTTACGAGGCGCCAGCAATGTAAAAGAATGGACGAGGCTCGAACATCGTTGGACGAGGCCCGAAACGTTTTCGTCGAGAGGCGCCAGCAATGTATAAAAAAAGAATGGACGAGGCTCGAACACGTTTTCTCGTTATAACGAGGCGCCAGCAATGTATAAAAGAATGGACGAGGCCCGAACACGTTTTCTCGTTATAACGAGGCCCCAGCAATGTATAAAAGAATGGACGAGGCCCGAACACGTTTTCTCGTTATAACGAGGCTCGCAATTATAAAAAAAGAATGGACGAGGCCCGAACAGTTTTCTCGTTATAACGAGCAGCAATGTATAAAAGAATGGACGAGGCTCGAACACGTTTCCTCGTTATAACGAGGCCCCAGCAATGTATAAAAGAATGGACGAGGCTCGAACACGTTTTCCTCGTTATAACGACCCCAGCAATGTAAAAAAAGAACCAGGCCCGAAATCGTTATGAAAGAATGGAATGGAGAGGCCCGAACACGTTTTCTCGTTATAACGAGGCGCCAGCAATGTATATAAAAGAATGGACGAGGCCCGAACACGTTTTCTCGTTATAACGAGGCGCCAGCAATGTATAAAAGAATGGACGAGGCTCGAACACGTTTCCTCGTTATAACGAGGCGCCAGCAATGTATAAAAGAATGGACGAGGCCCGAACACGTTTTCTCGTTATAACGAGGCCCCAGCAATGTATAAAAGAATGGACGAGGCCCGAACACGTTTCCTCGTTATAACGAGGCCCCAGCAATATATAAAAGAATGGACGAGGCTCGAACACGTTTCCTCGTTATAACGAGCTACCAGCAATGTATGAAAGAATGGACGAGGCCCGAACACGTTTCCTCGTTATAACGAGGCGCCAGCAATGTATAAAAGAATGGACGAGGCCCGAACACGTTTTCTCGTTAAATATAAAAAAAGAATGGACGAGGCCCGAACACGTTTTCTCGTTATAACGAGGCGCCAGCAATGTATAAAAGAATGGACGAGGCCGAAACGTTTTCTCGTTATAACGAGGCGCCAGCAATGTATAAAAAAGAATGGACGAGGCCCGAACGTTTTCTCGTTATAACGAGGCGCCAGCAATGTATAACAAAAAGAATGGACGAGGCTCGAACACGTTTCCTCGTTATAACGAGGCCCCCAGCAATGTATAAAAGAATGGACGAGGCCCGAACACGTTTTCTCGTTATAACGAGGCGCCAGCAATGTATAAAAGAATGGACGAGGCCCGAAACACGTTTCCTCGTTATAACGAGGCGCCAGCAATTATAAAAGAATGGACGAGGCAATGTATAAAAGAATGGACGAGGCCCGAACACGTTTCCTCGTTATAACGAGCCCCCAGCAATGTATAAAAAAATGTACGAGGCCCGAACACGTTTCCTCGTTATAACGAGGCGCCAGCAATTTATAAAAGAATGGACGAGGCTCGAAGACGTTTTCTCGTTATAACGAGTCGCCAGCAATTTATAAAAGAATGGACGAGGCTCGAACACGTTTCCTCGTTACAACGAGGTGCCAGCAATGTATAAAAGAATGGACGAGGCTCGAACACGTTTCCTCGTTATAACGAGGCGCCAGCAATGTATAAAAGAATGGACGAGGCCCGAACACGTTTCCTCGTTATAACGAGGCGCCAGCAATGTATAAAAGAATGGACGAGAACACGTTTCCTCGTTATAACGAGGCGCCAGCAATGTATAAAAAGAATTCGAACACGTTTCCTCGTTATAACGAGGCCCCAGCAATGTAAAAAGAATGGACGAGGCCCGAACACGTTTCCTCGTTATAACGAGGCGCCAGCAATTTATCGAACACGTTTCGTCGTTATAAAGGCGCCAGCAAATGGAAAGAATGGAGAAATCGTTATAACGAGGCGCCAGCAATGTATAAAAGAATGGACGAGGCTCGAACACGTTTCCTCGTTATAACGAGGCGCCAGCAATTTATAAAAGAATGGACGAGGCTCGAACACGTTTTACAACTCGTTATAAAAGAAACTCGTTATAAAAGCCAGAAATGGATAAAAGAATGGACGAATGTTTCCTCGTTATAACGAGGCGCCAGCAATTTATAAAAGAATGGACGAGGCTCGAACACGTTTCCTCGTTATAACGAGGCGCCAGCAATGTATAAAAGAATGGACGAGGCCCGAACACGTTTTCCTCGTTATAACGAGGCGTTTCTCGTTATAACGAGGTGCCAAATATATAAAAGAATGGACGAGGCTCGAACACGTTTTCGTCGTTATAACGAGGCGCCAGCAATTTATAAAAAGAATGGACGAGGCTCGAACACGTTTCTCGTTATAACGAGGGCCCCAGCAATATATAAAAAGAATGGACGAGGCCCGAACACGTTTCGTCGTTATAACGAGGCGCCAGCAATTTATGAAAGAATGGACGAGGCTCGAACACGTTTCCTCGTTATAACGAGGCGCCAGCAATGTATAAAAGAAAAGAATGGACGAGGCCTCGAATGTATGAAAAAATTTCGTCGTTATAACGAGGCCCCAGAAATTTAACGAGGCGCCAGCAATTTATAAAAAAGAATGGACGAGGCTCGAACACGTTTCCTCGTTATAACGAGGTGCCAGCAATGTATAAAAGAATGGACGAGGCCCGAACACGTTTCGTCGTTATAACGAGGCGCCAGCAAAATATAAAAGTTATAATGGACGAGGCTCGAATGTTTCTCGTTATAACGAGGCGCCAGCAATGTACACGTTTCGTCGTTATAACGAATGGACGAGGCTCGAACACGTTTCCTCGTTATAGCAAAAAAAGAATGGACGAGGCCCGAACACGTTTCGTCGTTATAACGAGGCGCCAGCAATGTATAAAAAGAATGGACGAGGCTCGAAACGTTTCCTCGTTATAACGAGGCGCCAGCAATGGGACGAGGCTCGAACACGTTTTCGTTACAATGTATAAAAGAATGGACGAGGCTGAACACGTTTCCTCGTTATAACGAGGTGCCTCGCTCGAACACGTTTCCTCGTTATAACGAGGCGCCAGCAATGTATAACGACGAGGCTCGAACACTCGTTATAACGAGGCGCCAGCAATGTATAAAAAGAATGGACGAGGCCTCGAACACGTTTCCTCGTTATAACGAGGCGCCAGCAATTTATAAAAGAATGGACGAGGCCGGAACACGTTTCGTCGTTATAACGACCAGCAAATTTTTAAACGTTTATCGTTATAACGAGTATAAAAAGAATGGACGAGGCTCGAACGTTTCCTCGTTATAACGAGGCGCCAGCAATGTATAAAAGAATGGACGAGGCTCGAACACGTTTCCTCGTTATAACGAGGTGCCAGCAATGTATAAAAAGAATGGACGAGGCCCGAACACGTTTTCCTCGTTATAACGAGGCGCCAGCAATGTATAAAAGAATGGACGAGGCCCGAACACGTTTCCTCGTTATAACGAGGCGCCAGCAATTTATAAAAGAATGGACGAGGCCCGAACACGTTTCCTCGTTATAACGAGGCGCCAGCAATGTATAAAAGAATGGACGAGGCTCGAACACGTTTCCTCGTTATAACGAGGCGCCAGCAATTTATAAAAAAAGGCGCCAATGGACGAGGCTCGAACACGTTTTCCTCGTTATAACGAGGCGCCAGCAATTTATAAAAAGAATGGACGAGGCTCCGAACACGTTTCCTCGTTATAACGAGGGCCAGCAATGTATAAAAGAATGGACGGACACGTTTCCTCGTTACCAACGAGGAATGCGAGGCAATTCCTCGTTATAACGAAAAGAATGGACGAATGGACGAGGCTCGAACACGTTTCCTCGTTATAACGAGGCGCCAGCAATGTATAAAAAAGAATGGACGAGGCTCGAACACGTTTTCCTCGTTATAACGAGGCGCCAAATTTGTAAAAAAGAATGGACGAGGCTCGAACACGTTTCCTCGTTATAACGAGGCGCCAGCAATGTATAAAAAGAATGGACGAGGCTCGAACACGTTTTTCCTCGTTATAACGAGGCGCCAGCAATAACGATAAAAAAAGAATGGACGAGAAACACGTTTCCTCGTTATAACGAGGCGCCAGCAAATATGAAAGAATGGACGAGGCTCGACACGTTTCCTTTATAACTCGTTATGGACGAAGCTTTAAAAAGAATTTTCCTCGTTATAACGAGGCGCCAGCAATGTATAAAAAGAATGGACGAGGCCCGAACACGTTTCGTCGTTATAACGAGGCGCCGAGGCTGCGAAAGAATGGACGAGGCTCGAACACGTTTCCTCGTTATAACGAGGTGCCAGCAATGTATAAAAAGAATGGGACGAGGCTCGAACACGTTTC